CGATCCAGAGATAAAGTTAACTGTATGATAACAACAACATTCTTTATCAGCTGTGCAAGCTCTAACTGTAACATGTTCATTTCACTCTTCAGTGAGCTGGGCTTAACATGCCTGATTAGTGGAGTGAGATAAATTTAACTTACAAGATTTAATATAGCAGAATAATTTATACACCTGCAGGCGTAACACAGTGCTGACAGGTGAAAGCCAGTTTGATGTGTACTTCATTAAATCGTTTGGCTTTTGCGTTGTGTTTCTAACAATGTTGGTCTTTTCTTCTCCGCCTGCTCGTGATGTACTACGTCTCACCATAGGCGGAGTTTGCGGGGTGCAGGAGGGGCACTGCCTCCCCATTGGCTGATATATGTTACGACATTGAGTCTATTATATGACCAATACAAATATTTTTTTTTTTTAAATGTATCTACAAATATTTATTTTTTAAAAATGTATCAATATTTTAAGTATTTCAATAAAACAAAAGGATTATATGAACTAGATAAGAATGAATCGTTTTATATATTATTTTGTAATAAATTCGTTTTTGAGTAGTTATGTGACACTGTGACGTCGTCGGTTTCCCTCTCATTTTAGCATTCAATCATTCGTTCATTAATAGGATAGTTATCAGTAAATATAGTTCGTACCACAAATGGATATTCAGGGATTTTTAAAACGTACATCTTCAACTACAGCAGTTAAACAAGTCAAGCCTTCATGTGACCCGGACCAGGAAACACCCGGGGCCAGCTCTGGAATAGCTAGCCCAGCTAACTCCACATTACACCTAGCACCGGGGCCGCCGCCATCGGGCCAATTAGCCAGCTTGCCCACGGCAGAGCGACCACCAAATGATCTTGGCGAAAAGAACTGCTGTTCCAAGCAGCCTGCTCTTTCGGAATTTCCTACAAAATCGTTTACTTAGCGGCGTTTACTTCTGCACCAGGTAAGGCACGTTATTTAACATGTGTAGGCCTATACTGTATTTAGAACCACACTGTAACAATTGTTGTTGAGCATCTTCAAAGTGTGATAACAGAGTTGAACTTTACGGTTGGCTGCCACTGTGCTTCAATTGTGTGCCATCGTGTGTGATGCACTTGGTACTGTTGTCTGCGTGACAATAAGCACTTTAAATCTGACGTTAAAATATTTGCCCCCTGACGCAAAAGTCAAACTCCGCCTATGCGTCTCACGTTGCGTCACGTTAGCTCGCGGCGACAACTTTTTCACAAGTGCTCCGTCTGAATAATTACTGGTTATGATGCGTTTCTTTGTGTTCCTTTACCTGCAGATAGCTTCTGTTAGCCATTGTGTGAGATAAATGCTAGCTTCTCACTTTACCTCTCAAATTATACCGTTAAATGCATGAAATATTGTTTTAATCGCCTTCGGCACCTTTACTCTTAATGTCACGTTAGTAATATGGCATGTTGAGTTTATACACGCTCTGTGTGTTTGTGTATAATCAGTGGTCTAGGCTAGAGCGTGACGTGACGTCATTGTTCTTCTGGCAGTTGTGGAGATCTTGTTAAGTTCATTATTCTTTGTCATCACCTGTCAAAATTGGCGAAACGATCACGCTTTCCGTGGAACTGGGGTTGTGACAATATCATCTTTTAGAAAGTCTTCTGTAATTATCTTGTACCGTCCCTCAAATAGGGTTTCAACAAATGTTCAAATGGATTTTAAGGCCGTCTTACAACGGTGGCATACGCAGTTATTTACATCATTGGACACCATGTTAATAATACTAAGGATAAATGAAATACAACGAAAAGAAAAGAAAGATAAATGAAATTCAACATAGTAAAAACAGACAAGCTAGAGCGTGACGTGACGTCATTGTTCTTCTGGCAGTTGTGGAGATCTTGTTAAGTTCATTATTCTTTGTCATCACCTGTCAAAATTGGCGAAACGATCTGTTTGTAACGTTGATGTTCAAGAACCTTTATTTGAATGAAGTACTGCGCATGCTTAATAAAAACCTGCGTAGAAGACACAGGCAATCACCGATCTTAGAGAAAAAAAAACAACATAAAATAAAACATAACATTATTTATCTAGTATTATTATTATATAAACATACATATTAAGTCTTGTGCTACTTACACTTTGGACAAACTGCAAATCAGAAGGACACGTAGAAATATTTTGACATTATTTTACTGTCAAAACATATTAGCATTAAAACGTTTGTTCTGTTTCTTTGCTTCATTGACCTTTACATTTTTGTTACTTCGTTTGCTGGCTATAACAGTACTTTGGTTGATGTCTGCCCTCTGCTGGTATAGATCAGAAATAACCACAATGAGGTTCAGTTAAAAGACCATCTGACCAAAGCAAAACTACTTCAAATTTGTACCAACAGTTTTCTATCTGTCTTCAGTGTGTTTTCCATGTGCAAGTTTGGTTTTATACCCAAGTACTCTTTGTCTACTGTCTTTGTCTACTTGGTGTTTTGAAACCGTAGATATCGCATACATTGTTGCCTCCTTTTTTCCTTTGGCATTTTCTGTTTTGACAAACTCATTGGCTAACATGCTGCGTTGTTTGTTACCTACATTCTACGTTGTCGATCCAACTCCTTTTTAAAAGGATTTGTATGTTCAAGCTTGTCATAACTGCCTCTTGTACGTTCAAAGATTCTGTTCTCTCTCCTTTCTGTCAACAGCTTCAGTTTCTCACGCCATGGTGATGCATGATTTAAAATGTATTTTTAAATTGTGGTACAAAGTACTTGAACTGAATGCTCTCAGCTCCTCTGTACCAGGTGTGCTGCCTGTTAGTTGTGTGGACATTTTTGGGTGGAAATCAAGGGCTGTGTACACTAAACTAAATGTTCTTATGGTAGGAAGAGTTGTGTGAACAGCTAACAGTGAACAGCTGCACTGATAAAGTTACAGGAAACAACTATTTACACATCAAACATTAGGGAAAGGTGTTCACGCCTGAGATTGGATTGTTGTTTCTGCTGAGAATGGCGTCCATCAGCAATTGTGATGAACAACTCAAATATTTAGGGCGAAAATAACCGAAAAGCCATGGATGAATCACTAGAGATTATTCATGATCAATTCAAATTAATCAACATTCCTAAATATGACTAAAATGTCTTATTTCAGTGTATTACCATAACAGAAAGACAAATATCAGTCGATACAGTAGACCAGTAAACCAAGTGATTTAATTATTAAAATGGAAGAAAGTCAAGAACAATATGCAGGTGTATTACTCAGATTTTTGCTTCATAGAGTTGGTTGGTTATAGAACACATCGAGAGTTCTAGTTTCCAAACTTCAGATAAGATAAGAAGATAAGAAGTCCTTTATTCCTCCCGCAGTGTGGAAATTCACAAGTGAAGCCTTTGTCCTCAACAATATTAATCAGTTTCCCTGACAATCCATTTGACATTTGTCTCAGTTAGATTGTCAGCCGTGGACTCTTTTACTGCCCTGTGCCTGAAGGGTCTGGTCTGACTTTGAACCTTATGTCTGACCTGAAGATGAAGCCTCCAAAACACATGCTGTGAGTTAAGATGTTGAGATACTGTATATAATAATAATAATAATAATACATTTTATTTCATAGGCACCTTTTTGTCACCCAAGGACACCTTACAGTGAATACAAAGTGTTGAAATATGTCGAGTTGAGGTGCAATTACTGGATATACAGTTGCACATCATTCTGTCTGTTAAAATGTGTTAAAAATTTAAATCTGGTTAATTTCCCTGTAATTTCGATAGTGTCTTTATGAAAAGGTCCGAAGTCCTATCCATCCAAAACAAAAATATCACAAATAGGTTCTTTATTCAAAGTGTATCTCAGTTTTGACATTTTATGTTTTATATCTACACAGTTAATTATCTGGAAGAAAAGTGTGGGGGGAAAAATTACAGAAAAAACTAAATCGGTGGCTCTGTAACCTGATACCTGGATCCTGTAGTATCTTGCAGTGTTTATAGCAAACTTTCAAATTTAAAAAGTTGGCTGTGGTAACAGGCTGTGGCATGACCATGAAGGCTACAGTGCCACTCCTCTTCTTCATGCTGTGCCTCACGCCTCAATTAGAAAACCTTAATAAATATAAATAAAATATTTGTTAATTTATTTGTGTCGGAGGTTCTGCTTAGAGTCCAGCCTGTCCATCCTTGTGAGTTTGACCTTTGAGAAACCTGGTCATGAAGGACAGTGCCTACATGGATATAGCACAGATGTGTGATGTGTCTCCTCAGCTTTGGAGACATAATTCCCTTAAACACACAAGACTTATAGTATCTGCCCTCAAAGTTCTGTAAACATTTACACTTCAATCAATATCCCACACATAAACGTTAATCATGTCTTTGCCTGAAAAAACCCACAGAATAATCTCAGGAGGTTCTGACCTCATTATGAAAGGATAATGCGTGTATAAATACTGTAGGCCTTACTGAGTGAAACCTTGATCCTGTGGAATACACACATGTTGAGTTTATACAGCTGGGTTATTTTCTAGCCAATCACTCTCCTGAAACCAGATTTATTAAACCAGACTTCGGAATCCTAGTGACATTTAGAATCATATATAGTCATTAAAATGACAGCAGCTGCTTTGAACTGAGATTTATTTCTAAACCACCAACACCACTGTGTTCAAAGGGTCATATCTGGAAAAGTGCTCAGGCTTAAGGGTGTCAAAAGACCGGCGACCTGGTTTCGATAGGACAAGAGTTAAAATATTAACAAACCTCACACTCGGCTTATTGTACTTTACATTTTTTGACAGAATGAGTCATCATGTTTTCTTATCCAGAGTCACGCCCGTTCATGGGATCTCCGTGGAAACCTGACACACTTCCCTGCTGTGATTGTGTGCCGAGGCTTTTGTTAGCATACACAGCACGTGTAGAACCGAGTGGGCGGTTATTACACAGCACACGGTCCTCGTCCCCTGATAACCTCTGATTTTGACGCCAGTTGTTTGTGATAGAACTTTATCTGTGTCGAGATGAAGACTTCTTTTAATACTTTATTGTGCCTGATGGAAAAAACACAGTTAGTTACAGTGTCCAATTATTGTCAAATCAATTAATTTCCGATTCTGATATCAACTGATACCGATATATTTAGCAGTTTGGGTTAAAAGCTGAGGGCTCATTTCACTGTGTACAGTGGTGTGCTGTGTCATAACTATTTTTAGGTTACGTCATCTGGCGTTATCGGGTTTTCATTATCGGAGCTAAAACCGATAACGATTTGTTGTTGACATGAGATATCTCAATTGTGGGCTCAATAACAATTGTTATTATTTTTAACTATTCATCTTGACTCCATGTGTGTTTTTTTTTTAGGCCTCTTCGGGGTATAGAATTTATGAAGCCGTGTTTCCTGGACTTGTGGAGGCTCGGGCTGTCTTGTCTCTGCATGTTATCATCATGTGCTGCACGGACATGTCTTTGCGCAACATTTTTGGACTTTGCCAAAAATGTTTTTGCACTTTTAAAATGATTCAGTTGCATGTGACAATATCAGCATGCCTTTTTCAATGAACCCGACTCTCATCAGACCTAAATATGTATCAGACCTAAATCTGATACATGTATGCTGTAATGGATACACACCTGCTATAGACCGAAAAGCTGTCCTGTGTTTGTTCTACAGTCCTCCATTAAGTGCAAGGAGTGATATGATCTCAACATTCCTGGAATTTGGCAGATGAGTTGTTGTTGCCCCTTCAAAAATGTCAGTTTCCCCTTGGGGTGAAATCCCTTCAGACACCGAGACTTGAAGAAACTCCTCAGTCTAAGTCCAAACAACAGCAGTCCAATTAACAAAAAGGGGGAACCGATATTATAGGTTGCTGAAGAACAGCACTTTATGCAAGTTTTCATAATTTTTCCAGCGTTATATCAATACTTATTATCAATACAACGGTGATCTGCCTGTGGGTCCATCCAGGCACCGGTTTTCAGTAAGTGTCCACAATTATTTCGAAAGAAAATTAGAAAAGGTCTTTTATTTGGCAGAGAGAAAGCGAGAGAGGGAGGAGAGGAAGGGTCCTCTGCAGCAGCTACGATATCTGCTCCACGTCAAATGACAGACACTAATGATGGGCCTGTGAAGGCAGCACTGATGTCAGCAGGTCCTCAGAGTAGAACAGTAAGAGCCTCTCATATACAGCGTCTCAGGATGATAGGAAAAAGTAAACAGTTTTCACATAATACCTTATAAATAGAGGAAACCAGAGGTCAGGATGGCAAAGTCATGTTTAAACATAAATGACTTTCAGTCACCATGAAGAAACATGACACTGTGTAAAGAGAGAAAAAACTGAGTTTATAAAAAGGAGTTCTGCATTGTCTGACCCTGTTTGCAGTGAGAGCAGAAAACATTTTTGACTGAACTTGAAAAAAAACAAACATTTTTTTATGTCACTCATGTCTGATAAATAAGTTGCACTGTTGTGTTGTGCTTTATCTTCTGTTTTGCTCTAAATGAGATTCAGGTTTAGAGAATTAACCTCATACTGTTACACAGCAACTTAAAAGTAGCCTAATTTTTAGTGAAAGGAGACAGCATACTATTGGCTAATACAATGCAAACTTGGTGTACTACTGGCTAATTGAGCATGCGCTTCTGTTCCTCACGCTGATTGGCTAATGCATCGTAGCATCTCCCCTTGTTTGTCGGCCACTCTCGTTCACTTCGCTCTGCGTCGCCATTATACCTTATATAACTCTACTGTGCATATAATTGTGTGGGAAAGGGTAATACAGTCTAGGAATGGTTGATAACAGTGTGGAGGGGGAGGTTCATGAAGGGTCAATATATACGTAAATAATATAATTTCTCGCCTCTACTTGAACTCAACTACTGTGATAGGAGCAGAATCACTGTACTTCTGTGAGGTGACACATCGAGCAGCCCTAAACACGTGTCTTATAAATCACCTCACCCTACAACTCAAACATCAAAACATGCACTCTCAGATATATACATTAAAGAACCCGGAGCAAATAATAAGGTTCAAATACTGCTCATATTAAAAACAAGTATTTTTGTTTTCTTAAACATTTGCTATAAAGAGTGAGCTGCCGTACGATTCTTTGTTCTCCTCTTCTCCATCCTCTTTGTGGTTCTCCAGAAGTTTGTCCAAGAAGTTTGGTGAGTTTGGCTCAACTCCTGCTTCTTCAAGGTCAAGGTTCTGTGCCTGAGGGTCAGCACCATGGTCTTCCAGCCCTGGGATCACTGGGGTCAGAGATAAGGACAAGGGCATCTGCACAAGTGGTTGAGTGGACAGGCCTGACGGGCCAGGAGAGAACTGGACGCCCGGGTTGGGCACAGCAGAGATGGCAGTGATGGGCTGAGCCCATGGGACGTAGGTCAACCCTGAGTCTGGGAGCTCCATCTGAGGGAGTGAGGCAGGAGCCGGGGCCATGGGTAAAGTCTGGATGGATCAGAAAATATTTTTCATCGTTAACAAATATGTTAGAATGGAATTATGAGACATCTCGCTATTGAATGTGAGAGAGGTTTACTATTTTTACTACAGTAAAGTCATGGGTACTTGCAGTGACATCTGGGTTTGTTATATCATTTATTTCTTCTGGGGAAGCTTAAAATTACAGCAAAGACTGCAGGTAGTCTGAAGTAGATTAGCTGATTTAAAACAACATGATGATGTGATGCTCTGGCCAATTTGTGTTTGTTACACACTACAATCCTACGGGGCAATATACTGGCAAAGCTGCCCGCGCTGTTAGAAGAGCTTGAGGGCGACTCTGTGCGCCATCTGTCTCCTTCATATCTCTGGCAGGCAAGTCAGTAAAAGGGACGGGGGTCTGTAGTTCAGCAGTATATGCTAAGATTGCTAAAGGCTAAAGTTGTTATTGTTATTGTATGAAAGTCAGTCATAGATTGCCATACATACAGTATATACAGTACATTTACATAAGTAAAATAATATATTACAAAACAAAAGTGTTTCGAAAACAAATCACCAAACATGGCCTCAGAAAAGATGGTTGATGCCGGAGGCCATATGAACGAGTTGGACTTGAACTCCTCTCTGCTCACGTACAGGCTCTTAAACCTAAAACAACTGAGCTACAGGGACAATAGAACTAACAGAATAACAAAGAACATTGTCCTCAGATATGTTTGTTTGTGTGTTTTTTTTATTGGAATCCATACACGAACAGAGCAGTGTGTGGCCCAGCGGTTGCAGGTTCAGGTTTGTGATCATACTGAGTAGGTTCTAATCCCATGATTGGCAGGGCTGTGGGGGGTTCTACTAAAAACAGGCCTGCGCCCAGGGCACAGTGAAGCTCCTGTGTGTCTGCTGGTAATTATTGGTGTTTGACAGATGACTTAAATCATTCATCACACTTACACATTGAAATCTGAAACATTTCCTGTCCCAGCCAATAGTTCCTTGAATGCAAAGGAAAGAATAATGAAATTGTGCAGGGATTTTTGTTTGTTTGTTTTTTTAGATGCCTGTGAAAATGTCCAGAAAAGTACATTCTAGTTTTGCTAGCATAATAATTGTGTAGTTTATTGTGAAGTGTTACGTCTTGTGTGGATGCAGTAACTAGAGCAGAGGTATGCCTGGCAGGACCGAACTCGGGGAATACTGTACAGCAGTTGGCCGTGCAGAAGGTGCTGTTGTTTTTTTTTTTTTACATAGAGCAGCTGAAAAAGTTATTTTTATATTATTGCTTCTGGATTTTGTTTTGTATAAATAAGGAAAGTGTTTGCTTTTAATCAACATATCCATGTTTGACAAGTCGCCTGTTTGTTGATACTGAACATAAAGTATGAGGAGCGCGTTTTCTCACAGTTGATGTGTTTTTACCTCCATGCACAAGTATCTGATCTGAGAACTGGTCCGGTGAGTTGAACAGGATGGAGCTAATGCTGGCTTGAATTTGTGTAACAGTGTGTTTAGTACAATGTATTACAGTAGCGTAGTACAACAGCCGCTGAAGTCTTGTTTCACCAAAGTCCATTTGGAGTTTATTTGTTGGACTTTAAAGACCTTTAAAGATCTTCTCGAGAGTTTATTATAATCATATCTTAAATTTTTATTTTTTTTGCCAACCAATAGAGATCTCTCTAAACGACCATTGGTTGAATTATATTGTAGGCAGTACTACAGTACACAAAATAAATGTCCCTGCTAGCCCATGCTGAACATGGTACATGTTTAATTTCTTTTGAATTAAATATTGGTGGTATATGTATAGAATGAGAACATTATATGATTAATGTAAACTATGTTAAATATGATTGTTCTAAACGTATGTGTATGGCGCCTGTAGACATTACCCAGGGAATATCTCAACACCTTCACGGTCAAAACAGAAAATTATCTAAAGGTCAACTTGTTATATTTTTGATACATTTTTTTGTTTGTTGTTATATATAATTTCTACAAAGGTTTGCAAGGATTTTGGAATCATGACTATCATGTGTTCAGGATCAGGATTGGAGCAGACCATGGCTGTGTCCAGGCTGTCCAGGCGTCCTCAGCATCCATTGGTTTTTAAGAATGTTGCGTAGGGTAGCCATCCTGGTTACACTTTCCACAGTTAGCAGTTGGAGGAAAGCATTCACAGTTATATTTCTTTAGGGCGTTATTTAGTAAAAGTTTAGTAACACCTGTTTGTCAAGTTCAGAAGTCTTTAGCTTGCGGTGTTAGTTTTTAGGTTAACTTTGTTTTGTTATTGCACACCATGTTCTCACATGCTGTAATCATCTTACAGTGACAGAGTTTATTTTTGACTTTTATTATTTTTTGGTTTATTGATGAAACTAATTTCATCTGCAGACGTTTTGTATGAATATGTGATTGTTCTAAATGTGCCAATCAACTGAAGCTGACACTGTATTGGCTTTTCTGTCGGCCAGTGTGGTATTGTCTCAGTACAGTTGACTGTCTCATTGTCCTCATGGACGTGTCAGCAGTTTGAAGGTATTTTAACATCGGGGACAAAGACCGGAGCAAAAGTTACTGTAATATTTGGTACTGTAGATCTGTTAGCTTAAATATGTTAATGTTTCACATTTGGCTAGACGAGAGTTTACACTTTCTGTTCTAATTAACCACCATTAGGTTTGTCGTTTATTAAAACATTAAAATAGTGCTACCTAATTTTAGCCCTTTGGAAGCAGGTGACAGTCTTTTTATTTGAGATGGATTTTTGGTGTTAAAGCTCTGCTCACTTTCTGTTCAGTCTAATTGTATCTATCGTTTTTCCTTAATATTCCTTTTTTAATTTATCTATATTATCTAATTTGACAAAAGTGTCAATTTAAAGCCTTTGTGCTTATTGCAGAAGTTTGGAAAACGTTACTCACTCCAAAGTTTGTCAGCAGCGGCGTATGCGTGTAGGTCAGCATGGTGTAGCTGGGGCACAGAGTCTGCATGTACAAGTCGGTGGTTAGGGTGCTGGCAGGGTAGGCTAGACTCTGAGCGCAGGATTCTTGCTGTCTGTACTCAGATGAAGACCACGGCATCATGGCGGCACATGCGGACGAGGATGGAGTTTTCCATCCGGAGCACTGCAACAATCCATCTCCGGTTGTGACTAAAGTCTCAGCCGCGGTGCCTGTGGCGGCATCGGAGCACGGAACGCCTGAATGTGGAAGAAATAACCCAGTGTTAGACAAAACATAGCAATGAGTTCAGTGAAAATTCTGGTTTATGGGTAAACAAATACCTTGCGTGGACATGGAATGATTGTTGCGTGCGACTTCATCCTAAAAGAGAAATTATAAACCACAGTGTTGATATATAAATACAAAGTATTTACACTTGGGCTCATAACGTGCTCATAACGTCCAGGTGTGAGCAACAGCTGAGTTGAGGTTGTCTGGATGTGTGTGTGTTGATGGAACCGTAAGTTTAACATAAAAAAACAGAAAATGGAAAACTGAATTTGTAGGAAATTTTAAGCATCAGAAATGAGCGAATGCTAAAGGTCAAAGGTCCCTAAAAAAATTTAAAATTGGCCCTGAGCTTGATCTGACAAAATTGCAAAAATCACAAATCTCTGTCAAAATCCACTTTTCTTATTCACCCCTTAATTTAAAGGGTTTAGTTCAGCGTGATCAATACTTAATATATATTGTTGGTGATTCAAACAATTTTAAATTTTATATTAGTTAATAAAAACATAAATTTAGTCAATTTGTATTTTTTTAAATTAATAAAATAAATAAATAACACCCTGGTCCAAACCATAGCTCCTAGTTTTGGATACACATGGTGGTTGAGCTGTGTTCATGTGCAGAAGTTAAAAAAAAACAAGTGGATGCGCTCATGACCATAAAAGGTCCACATGTTGACAAATGTCATTGAGAGTCAAAAGTAACGAAACACGAGGCTTTGGTTCAATTCAGTGAAACAACTGTCACTGATAATGACAGACGGGGTCAACACTGACATTACTGACGGCACGTGACGTGAGCTGCAGTGAAAGACTGCATCCTACAACCTGCAGCCTGCAGACGGCCAGCGTGTGCACACATGTGCCGTCAGGTGCCTGCAGGGCGGCGCAGTCTGCTGCAGGAGCTCGTGTTACAGGCGGAGATTTTTACATCTCTCACTCAATCCACCAAAGGCAGGCAGCTGCTGAGGTACGCAGTAAATCATTGTTAAAGAGCTCCTGACAGCTGATAGGTGGAAAATTAGAGAGGTAAATTGTTCGTACCTCGGAGGTTAGATGTTGCAGGTCAACTTTATATGAGACAAATTGACTTTGTGGTTTCCCAGGTAAAATTAAGGCTCAACCAACGGGAGGTTTCAATGGATGAAGGCAGCAGTGTCTTGAGTGAGTTATATTTACAGTAAATATCTACAATCTCACTTAAGCTGTTCGTTTATTTCATATTTTTATCAATTCACCAATTCAATCTAGAAGTTTGTGTCTCCATAGTACTGGTTTTGGGTTCCGCCTGCTTCCTGCCGTGGCTAAAGCTGACAGAAACTGTTGGCAAATAATAAAGAAGAATCAGACAATGGACGGTTGGGGAATGGAAGGTTTTAGGTTCGAGTCCACCAGCTGCCAAGTTGCCACTGAGGTGCTCTGAGCATGGCACCGTCCCCACACACTGTTGCCCCCTGCTCACCTTGGTGATGGGTGAAATACAGAGGTCACATTTGGGTGTGTGCAATGGTGTGCTGTTAGTGACAAATTATTTGCTCTCACTTCACTTTCAGCTTAAGTGTTTGATTAATTAATTAATCATTCATTTCTAATAATAAATACAAAATACAATTATCCAGTGACATGGCCCAGTAACATGGCCCTGTGCCTCTAAACTCTGTTTTGCAGCATTTTGCACTCCACAGTAATGGATGTTGTGAATTTGGTGTATCATTTTTTCCTCACATGGTAGGGATGTAGTTGGTGAAAGTAAAACATCCTTTTTAGATAGTGACACAGTTCTCCTGTTGCAGGCATGGAGCAGATCACACTACCTGGAAGTCATATTCCATGACTTTTTCACAAGTCTGTTTTTTCAGGGTTTTTCAATTTTATTATTTATCGCTTGTGTTTTTAAAGCACACTGTAAATAATAGTTATTAAAAAACAAAATAGGGGTGGGGGGGGAGTCATTTTTAAATTTTGTTTTTCATGAGGTGGTTTGTGAGGTGACTTGTGTGCATGTGTGTGTTTGGGCCGAGTGGATCCTTTATCACCAGAAATGAGAAAATAAATAGTGTGTGGGAGGTTCTCTCTGGCAGGGCTGCAAGTTATTTTGCATAGAAGGCTGTGTGCCCAGCCCGCGAGCCATGAAAGGAATAGTTGTAACTGTCATGGAAAAACACCTGGATTATATAAGGACCAAAATCTCCCCTGGCTGTGGGGCAGGCCTGTGGTCTTCTCCCCACACAGAATCATTTCTCTAAGCCAGTGGTTCTCAATTATTTTCTGTCATGCCCCCCCACTTAGAAAAATGTTTTCACGCCCCCACCCACCCTGACCCACACCTCCACACATTGGAATACTATTGACGACCTGATAACATGTATATTTCTATCTGTACAAACCACTGTATGAGTTGCTGCCACCTAGTGACTGGAGGCTTGTTATCATTCAAGCATTACAGCAGTGGTACACTTAATGCCACCCTGGCACCTCACTGCACCCACTTTTTGAGAAGTACTGATATTTTTATTTTCATAAGAAAGGTTTTATGTGCTCACCTGAATCTTTCAGGTGCTAAAAGCAACACAGGCCGTAAGGTGTTGTGAAAACACCTCTTACTACGTCAGTTAAACAAAGAATCTGTGGAGCTTTTATTTGTCTTGGGACGGTGAGATTCCAGGTTTGATAAGAGCAGAATACAGTGTGTATTCATGCAGATTTTTTTTTTCTTCTTTTGCACATTACTGCGAACTTTGCTCAGTTATGAGTCAGAGAAGGTGAGTCATTATTAGGCGTGTATAGTTAGTAAGTTAGTAAGTAAGAGTTAGTAATTACCCCACATAGAGACAGACGACTGATAATGTTGCTGTGTAAAATGACAAACATTTGGCCTCAGTGACATAGATAAACAAACAATACGTAAACAAACACTTGAGGGCCATCGATGCCAGACTTTAGGCTTTGTCCTCACCAGAACCGAGGCAGAAGACACTGTTTTGACACCGTTTGGCTCCCGACTCCTCTTCCTCCTCAGCAGCTCCTTAACTGGATCTCTGACCCGGACACCTTGGTAAGGTCTGGGCCTGGTCACAGTTGACGGTGTAGCTGCAGGTCAGACAGGAAACAGAACCAAGTTGATTTATAGATGGGTGGCGGTTTTTTTCTAGCCTCAAGCTGACATCATTTGTCTTCAGCCTGTTTCTATCAGGGTTGATAACAACCTGTCACGGCTGGGAAATGTTCAGTAGTAGTAGTAGGTTGTGAAGTGGTTATTGTATCGACAAACTGTTAGAGATATTTATGTTGGAACAACACAAACCATGTGTAAGAGGGTCGTTTTAACTTTTATTTGTTTCCATTCTGGTAATTTGTATGGTGACCTTGGAAGGTGCCCGTTTTTATGATGACGATGACGACGATGATGATGATTATTATTGTTGTTGTTAGTATTATTATTTTAATCACAGTGGATATAAACTTATACACAGGAAAACTATGTTCCATGATTGATTAACCAATAGAGCGATTGATGATTTTATACAATTTGCCTTATTGAATGTCATCTTACAACATGAATTAATGTGAGGATCTTGTCTAATAATACAGATTGAGGGGGGAAAAAAGGAACAATGAAAGATTTTGCTCCTTTTTTCTCCCATCAGGATGACACAAACGTTTTACTCTGTATGAAAATACCTGTGTTCAGAGGTGAACTTTGGTAGTAATTAGTGGCTGGAGCCAGCGTGTGAATTAAGTAGAGCTGACGGTTTGTTGTTTTTTTTATAGTAACTACAACATCAAAAAGCCTCCTGCTTCAGCACACACATTTTCACATCACTGTAATTTCATTGTATAACTGTAGGTAGGTTTCCAGGGAAGCTGCTCAAACAGCGGCCTGGGGCCAAATGGTTTAATCATGAGAAAGAATCTGATCTGAGAGCAGGGGCCTCTTTTCAGATAAGCTCCATCACAGTTTGTCGTACCAGTGATCGCGGAGACAATGCTCACAGGCTACACTCAGACAAACGTAGATTCTGGACTATTGAGCGGACCTGAATATAAGCCACACCTACTAAATTTAAAAAGATAAAAAAATATTGTACATATATATAGGCTGCACTCCAGGGCAGAAGCATATATTAGCTCTGGGGCTAACTCTCTTTACTTCGTGCTTGTCCGCAGCAGAGGTAAACAGAAACAGGGAAGTTGGGATCTTTATTATCACCCCACCAAGCATAACAGTACATAAACAGCGTTTTAACAGATCCGGTATAACCAACTCACACAGACATATACTACTAGTATAACTCACAGTAGCCTACCAGAAAAGTCATTGATCGCTAGCGGTATGAATTTCGTGACAGTAGAAAAATCCTTAAACTAGCCACAACTAGCCACGTTGTTTAAGCCGCAGGGTAAAATGTGTGTGAAAAGTAGCGGCTAATAGTCACTATCGTTCTCTCCTGCAACAGCTTCATTGGGAAATAATTTGCATAACAGACAGGATATTTTTTTACAACTCTCCCTAGGTCTCTAAGTCGTGTAAGATTCCATACGCCACAGGTGAAAAACAAATCCCTCTGACTTGTCACCAAAAAAGGTATAAGTTATACAGTAATCAACCACTGTGGTGGTTTTATCTGTGCAATGTAATCACGACACGCCAATAATGCAGTACTACAGTACTACTGTACTACATACAGTATGCTTCCGCTAAGGTTCAGTTGTTAGTACGGCACTGACAGGATTGTAACTGAAGTCCACGTCTGTTTCTGCTAAAAAAAAAAAAAAAAAAGGTCTGCCATTTCAATATCATAAAAAATATTTAAATTGATTGTTTTTTGTAATTAATAATAATTCCTTATTATTAATAAAAATGGTCTTCTGTTTCACTCAAGTTAAACTACCAACAGTAGACACATTGATCTGCAGACGTTCATGTTTATTTGTATTGAATTAACGAATCCAATAACTAATGATGTGGATCCTTAAGATTTTCGCACAAAAATATGCCACGCCTACTTTAATCCTTAAATGACAAGGACTGGCCAATGAAGAATGAAGAATCATGAGAGACCATCTGCAGTAATTGAAAATGATCACTGTGTTTTTTCCAGATTCATATATATATGTTTTTTTAATGTATATATGTTTTAATTGGCGATTTTCTGGATTTCTGCTGTAACGAACGATCAACATCAGGCGTCAACACTGCTCTTGCATCGGAACATTTGCATCGTGGATGTATGCCAAAACAATCTAAGGCTGCTGTGGGAGATCGTAATGTTATGAACATGGATGAGTTACAGCAGGTTGTTAAATCAGTGCAGAAAAAACAAGTGTTTAAATAAACACGGCCCACAGTGGTCCTAGCACCAAAGGACGTAAAACGCACATACAGTTAAACTAGCGGTTGTCAACTGTCAACCTTGATGCGGAACAATTAAATACTATTCACTAGGCGGCAGCAGATGGCTATAAAAATTTTTAAAAAAACCACTCGGCTTTTGAAGACCTTCATATGCCTCCGTCTGCAAATTCTGCGAGTACATCAGCGTTATGTTCACCGAAACAGCCCAGGGTTTTAAAATGTAAAAAAATTGTCTGCAAATCCACATAAAAATCAATGTATTTCATTACATATATGTTTTTATAACACTTGTTTTATCACCTAAAACTGGTGATTTTTTGTCTGGGGTTGAACAGAGGTTTGTCTAGACAAGGTGCCCTTAGGTTTCTTGCCTAGGAACGCACATCAGTACCGATCTGATCCTTGACCTTACAATCTGAGAAAAACCCTGTCCACTTTCTGGTAAAGACCTTTTATTTCTTGCTTTCAAAAGCATTTAAAGTCAACCTCATCAGTTATTACCAAATAAACTTCCTCTGTCTGTTAAAGGATTATACTTTATTTTTTTACCTGTGTCATCTGACAATGTTTAGCAATTAAGCTAACAATGAACAATTGAAATATTGAAACACATTGAATTGAAACACACATTTACACATTACAATACTGTTTCATTGTGTTTGTGCTAACATTAAAATGGTTGCTACGCTACATTGCGTCTATTTATTTCAGTCTAAAGCTAAGGCTTTGGTATAGATTAATATGTGGCTGGGACTTTTATTTGTTCATTCCATTTAATAAATGAATCATAATTTTATCAGTTCCCTAATTTTTTGGCAAACCTTGTTCTTAGACTGTTTTTTTTTTTGTCAAGGCTCTGACAAATTGTTTGCGTTTATGAAACTGTTTTGTCGTCACGACGTCGCCTTGATCAGAGTTCTGGACAACCACCTGAATTACACAGTTGAGTGATCATAACATTTCCATGGTAGTTTGGCGTTCTCTCTGTAATTACATCAAATACACTGCGTACTGTGCGTGGGAGAAGAAGTCCGTGCAAGAGTTTAGTCGGATTTAACTAAACAAACAGAGCTCTGGTAATAACAAGACAGTGTGATTTTTTTATATATATATTAACAGAAGCTATCGTGTTATGTTCGGCTTATGTCTGACCAGAGCACACGCACACAGACACACACACACGCACTCAAACATACAGAAGGCCATGCTGTTAAAACACAAAAGAGGAAGCGCCACAGCTGCACAGTCCTTCAGCATGGACGCCATCATTTTGCATATCAAGATTACACGCCATTAGCAGCTCGCAAATCAACTTCCAAAATGATCATCTTCCTCTTTCAGAGTCTTACACTGGAGCGTCAGTGTGGATTCTCACACAGATCACACCAGGAAAGGTCTCTAATTTATTCGGTTTCTGCGGATTTTCTGTTGGGAGAAACCTGCAATCGATGATGTGGTGAGGAGAGTGGAGCCGCCACTCAGTCATCGCCACTCTGAACCGACACACACTGAATCAGACGTTGAGCTTTTTATCGTTGAACTTTAACTGTAGAGTTTCAAACAAAACCGATCGTCATTTTTACCTCATTTGGCTGATAAATCCAATTCACAGTTAGCTTCTCAAGGATGCAAACATTGGTATTGATTACATGGTAAATGATTAAGTCGCCATAAAATACAATTTTATGATTTTTTTTTTCCCCTTTTTTGTTTTTGAATTGAAGTCCTAGAACAGAAGACCTAGTAATATACGGTCACCATCGGAGATAAATAACTTTAAATATTATGGATGTAAGTTTATAACCAATTAAATATATTTATATATACATATATACTTTTAATTATTGCTAGTGACAAAATAACAATGCAGTACTTACATTTGTCCCAGTGCATGCTGCTAATCCTGCTAAAATTGTACAGTGAAAGTGGAAAAAAAACAAATGTCAGGTTGGCTGACGTGCTTTATACCAGAAAGTAGCGGGCTTTTTTTTTTTTTCTTTCACCCATTATTCCCTCGAGAGCATTGTTTTTTTTTTTCTTGTTATGTACAAGTTTGAAAAAATACACCAGTAAAACGGCAACTCCTGCAGTAGCTACCGTAACCGTTATTTTACCATTTATTAGTGTTACCCCCAACTTTTAACCTGATTTCTGTTTTTTTATTTTTAATAAGCAGTTTATGATTCATCTAACATTATTTAAGTAGGATTAGGAAACATGAAAACCCAGATTTCTAGCTATAAACTGATGCAGCTCTATAGTATTTTTGATATATTTAACAACAACTAGAATATTCTGAAATATCCTCTTGTATTGAGAAAATAATAGACTCATATTATATTGTCATTTCTGCACATCTTGTATTGTTTGAGAAGGTTTTAACAATGTTTTACAGTGGTTTCATAGTGTAGCGGTTAACCGGCCTGCCTTGCAAACAGAGCACAGAGGACTGGGTTTGATTCCCAGAAGAACCACACACTTGGTGCCTCCTCTGCTATTTGATTCCCAGAAAAACCACACACTTGGTGCTTCCTCTTAATTATTCTTTTGTTGCCTTTATTAACAATAGGGCTGTTCTTATGGATGAACAAATATCATTTCACTCTCACTACTATTTAAATTGCTAATATTTTCTAGAACCCACCTCAGCATTTTCTGAAAATACATTTGAAGTAAAGACTGATGTCATGAAAACATAAATTCTGTGGCAGTTGTAGTACAGCTGTAGTACAGTTTAATGTGGTAGGGACTGACTGTTGGCTGGTGATGTTTGTATCAACACTGTTGTCATATTATCCCATGGTCCTGAGGTCTCCTTTCCCTCCGGCCTGTTTCTGTGTTAATCATTGACATCAGGCTCACCTGTGTCATGTGACCTCTCTCCCTCAGACACTTGAGTCGTCGTTGCATGTTGTTCTGTTTTCTACAGCTCTGCTTGTTCCTGTCAGGCCTGGTTTCTCTGTAACTGGAGGTTTTTAAGGTTGAACTTCATAAGAAACTTCCTGAATCTGTTTGTGGGTTTTTGAGTGCTGCCAAGTGCTCTCTTCTGGAGTTAATGAGGTCACAAAAAAGTTGAAATTTTAGTTGTTTTTTTTTTACAGTTGGGCACCACGGGCAGTGGTTAAGGAAGTGGACTCCACTGAGGTGCTCTGAGCACGGCACCGTCCACACACGCTGCTCCCCGGGCTCTGCTGCTGCGGTGTCACAATGACGAAGTAATTCACTTTCAATTGAACAGCAACGAGTTTTCACTTGAACTTAATAAACATTAAATGCAGGTCTCTGTGCCAAGAAGTGTGATATACAGTGAACTGACACACGACTGAGTCCATATACTTATACACAAGATTGATCACCGGTTGCTAGAGCATGTATGAAAACAAATGGAAGCTAGGGCGTGTTTTTTTCAACTCAGCTTTCGTTTCATGTGCCCGCGATTGGAGCGCTGCCAATAAGAAGCTACCTACAGTGATATGAACCGAGTGCTCTGAGAACTCAGTCAGTCCAGGTTGGGCAATGGCTGCTGGGTATTTGCTGCAGACACACACAGATGAAGACCAAAACAAAACAAATTTTACTTCCTGCCATTTAATCATGCCAGTAAAAACACTGAATCCACACAATTACACAACTGTATGTAAAATAAAATTATCAATACATATTGTACTTTTTACTGCCTTCTGTCGTGCTGACATATAAAGACCCCAGCGAGAAACCAGGGAGTGGTTTATAAGCACTTTCAGCCAGGTGCAGATAAAATAAAAAATGTCACAAGGCAGAGAAACGTGGCTCCGTTGTGTTTACAGTCTTTTTGGCTCACTTCCTCTTTTTGACACCTAAAAGAAACAACTGAGAAACACTCAAATACTAAACCTTCTGAAATGTTATATTCAAAGAGGCATTTTTGAGGTGAAGAGAAATGATCTCTTAATCCCCTACACACACACACAGGCGCCGGCTGCACACGGGGCAAGTTGCTGTTGACGGTTTTAAACACTTTCACCATTTCAGTTACTGCCTTGGGTCAAACCTTGTCACCTGGAGTCACGGTAACTCAAATAATACAGAGGCCGAGGTAAACCCGTAAGACTGGCTGGAAACTGCTGGATGTCTCTTCATGGCACACAAGAGCTGACTAGGATCTCACCCCCCCTACAGAATATTCTGGACAGTTTTGGGGTCATAAGTTCATAACTTGACCGGAAGAAAAGTTTCTCTAAATCCCACTGAATCCCTCTACAGATCCCCCTGCTGTTATTACTGATGCACAGGCTAAACTTTTTCTTGCCAGTGCATTTGTTTAGTCTAAAATGGAATCGGAAGGAACATCTTCTACAAAAAATTCTACTTCAGTCTTGGCTCACGCTGAGGCTGAAACTGACCGAGGTTAGTAGTTGGTTAAGAAATGAATGCAGATGGAAAACACCTGCTCGAACTTCATGCTTCACTGACCAGCAACGCTTAAAAAACATAAAAACAGCAGCTGAAACCTTTCTCATATTAGGCCTATGCAGAAACATTAACTGTGAGCTCGACGTGATTGGCTAGATTGAGGTTATTGTTGGTTCGAAGGTTGTGTGGATCCATGTTTAATTATTGCATAACTGTATCTGTTCCTGCTGCCTCACTTATATGGCATTAGAAGTAAAATAATTAACTCACCTTGAGAAATGTTAAACGTCACAAAAGACCTTGCAGACACTTATACAAATATGTTTTTGTTTTTTCCAGCTATGACAGCAGAAGCCGATCCCTGCTGACCCTGTCTGCTGCAACACAGGGTCAAAGCACAGTCCAAAATACATCATATATCTCACTGCAGTGATGGAGTACAAGTCATCACTTATCTCTTATCTCTTATCTCCATGTTATGGCAATGACAGGGTGAGTAAACCTGGAAACCTATGGAAAGGGCTGTTGATGCTCACACAAAGGGAAACCACATGTTTAAAACCTGCACTGACTGCATGACCCGGCACATTCCTGCAGGGGGAGACTCTCACTGTAATTTATTCTATGCTGTATTGAAGAGGCTTTGTTCTTGTTGAGACATCTGTGCCTCTTAGGTTGGAGGGCACTTCGGCGTTCGCCCATAGTATGGGTGTAGGAACAGACTAGTCCAGGCGTGGTGGAACTTTTTGACTCGCGGGCCACAATTGTCCTAAAATTGAACGGGGAGTGTTCGTGTGAATTAAGATAAATGACATAAAAAGAAATGTAAAAGTCATGCACAAAGGCTAAAATGCTTTTATCAGTTTCTACACCATCTATTGGGGGAATATGGGTATTGCAGGGAAAAGGCAGATAATGATAATATAAATAAGTTATATCATTTGGAAAAGTTTGGCAGGCCGGATTAAACTCCCCCTACCCCACCCTTAGTCCCCCGGACTTCCAGCACAACCACCTTGAAATTTTCATAAAACTTAAAAAAATTGTGTGTTTGTGTGTGTGTGTGTGTTCATGCCCAGCTCTTGTCTTTGGCCTGTGTGCACATGCCAGACCTTCAAGGGCATAAAAACATGCTTCAGCCTGCAGGGCAAACAAAATCTACTTTTTGGCTTTGGCTTCAGCTCCCTCTCTCTCTCTCTCTCTCTCCCTCTCCCCCTTCCTCCCTCCCTCTCTCCATCACACACACACAATCACAGCTGTAAATCTGCAGGGCCTGCACAGCTGCTCCAGTTAAATATCTGTCCCATCCAACAGTGTGAAGAGGTGAAAGTATCAGCCACGGCTAACTTCAGCGTTCACTGCTGACACTTTTTAAGAGCAAAGTTGCTGGAGTTCATACCACAATCAGATAAGATTGTAAAGAAGTGGTGTCACTCAGAGATGATAACCATGTCAGCTCAAAGCAGCCTGCACGCCGGGGAAAATCCCACAACACTTGCCCTGAAAGGCCATAAAAAAGACACTTACTCGTAGAGATTATGAATGTGAAAAACAGCTTTTAAGTGTTTCCTCTACAAAACTGTTTAACTTTTTAATTAAACAAATTTATTTATTTGTTTTTGACAGATACCTAAAAGTCAAATTAAATTAAAAGTTAAATTGTAATGAATATAAGTTATAGATTTTATTTTTTGGTATTTGCAGGATGTTACGTCAGAATAAAACGTTTGTCACCCTAGTACAGGGATGGCAAACATATGACCCATGGGCCAACCCGGCCTGTCTGGAGTTTCAATCAGGTCCGTTAATTTTAAAAATAAAAAAACACTTAATGTTCAGGAAAAGTTTTGTAAAATTGGATTTCATTAAATATGAAGATGAATCTGATTTGTTTTTCCAAAGAGGGAAAAACACTGACATTGTTATTTATAGGTCATGTTGTCATGATTCTGCTGCTCAGGCTCACCTCATATTGAATGAGGTTCTCTAATAAAGTTGTGGAACTTCCCTTTTTAACTTCCAAGAAAGGGCACAGGTAACTGTGCCAGGTGTTTTTTGCTTATCTTAAGTAAACATCAGCTTTCCACAGCCGAACCGCCCCGGCCACATGAGCTCTCACAGTAGGTGAGCTGCACAGACTTGTCCTGCTGGAGTGCAGAGGGGGGGGGGGCAAAACCTTTAACAGATATGTTAATATTACCACTAGGCGATTCATAGTTCAGGTCAGGTTGAAGAAAGGAAGTAACTGTGGCCAAAAAAGTCTGAGTCATACTGAAAAAATGAAAAAGTAAAATATTAGGTGTGATTCGGTGAATTTTTACTACTCCAAGTAGTTCTCTGGTTTCTGTGTGATCCCAAACTTGTCTGCATGAGAGGTTTTTCTTGACATGATTCTACATTTACCATGTGAGATCATCCTGTAGCGCTGGTACAGGTAGAAAAGTCACAACCAGTTATTAGTCAAAAACGTAGCCTGAAGGTGAATTGAAAGTGTTAGGCAGCTCCACAGAAAGTCATTTAATGATGACTACCTGCAACAGGTGAGGGCATGCAAAGTTGTGAGTGCACGTAACTGGAACACACTA